AGAAATCAATCGAGCGAACAAAGACTGATAGAGATTTCTAAACTACGATCGATCGTTCCGAGTTCTAATACCTTCATCTTCGATCTCGATCAAATTTCCCTCGTGTTTACGCCCATTTTCATCTCACGATCGATACGACACTTCTCTCGAACAGTCTTCACTTAAGAACTCTCTTTTTTTTTTTATATCGAAACGTCGAAGCGTGTAGTCGAAAAAGACGAAGAATTTTGGTGGAACGGTAGTCGGAATATTTGTGCTGTGGGCAGAGCGCAGCTGTTCGATCCTCGTTTCCATTACCGTAACAAACAAGTGCTCCTTATCGAGCGTTTATTACATGTTCCAAAGTAATAGCACGATATTGCATCGTTCGATAAAACCGGCGCTCGCGGTGTGACGGCTTCGCGGCAGATAACGACAGATCGCGCGCGCGAAATGCGGCAAAAATTAATCGTCTGGCCGAGCGGTCGTCCGTGGATATTTCCAACAAAAAACTGCCAGAGCATGCAGAGGCGAGGGTCTTATTGAAAATTACGGTGCACGAGTCGGAAAATGAAGGTTTCCTTCGATATTTATCCCCGGAGCACGTAGTAGATACAGACACGAACGAACATTACCAAAACTCCGACGTATAACAAGTACATGTGAAACATTGCACTCAGAAATATTTCAGCAATATTTTTTTCACAATTCAAAGAAAGACAGTTCTCCTTGTCTCTTCTTTAAACGAAAACTGCACACACTGGGGATATTTTGGATGAAGCTCGTGCAATTGCAAATTTTGTCAATAATTAAAAAATAAAAAAATACGTGCAAGTAGAGAGTGTATGAAAAATGCTATTCTCCTTTCCCCCCCTTGAAACTGGCGTGGCAATAGGCGCACGCACTTCGGGGGGTAGGTGGAATAACGCAAAAACGAGAATACAGTAATAGAGAGGGAGAGAGAGAGAGACAAAGGAAGAAAGAAAGGAACCTGGTGGAAAAACGAGAGTAAAGAAAGAAAGAGTAGGTGCGAAGGCTCGTTAGAGGCCAGAAGAAATCAGGATAAAGAAGAAATAGCTGTGGCGAAGTCGGCATTGGGCCGGCGCGGCGCGTCGCGTCGCGTCCTCGTGGGGCGTGAAACACTTGAAAATCCCGGTTATGCAAAACATAGGAAAACGGCCCTCCAGGCCAGGACGTTAGGTGGAACACGTAATTGAAAGCACTTTAGAGACCCTACGGCACGCACAACGAGCACTCGCATTTGCATTCAGTGGCAGAGGGAATGCCTTTTAACCGAAATGACTGCGTGTATATGACAAACGCCAGGTTTATGTGCCGGAACGATGGGAATATTTATTGGCACGAATTAATGTCTCCACTCGTCCGTGCCCGAGCGTTATATTTATTGGAACATTTCGCCGTGGCTACGAGCGAATAAAAACCAGCTATTCCATCCGGGAGGGGGTGTAAAAAAGGATACCGGGAAAAATCCACGCGACCTTCCCATTCACACTGCCGAATCCGCGACCGAACCAACGATTCTTTCTTCTCCCTTACAGCCTAATTACGGATTTTCTCGATTGTTACACGCGTCGAACGACGATCTACGTTGAGAAATAAGGAAAAATTGAGAACGGTTTCGGTGTCGTCGAATGGATAGTTTGAATTGGTAATTCTACGGCGAGAAAGAAAAGGTAGATTTAACGTGACTAACGCGTTTCTTTTCATCCTGTCGCGAGATCGGTTGGAAGATGTTCTTCGACGCAGTGAGAAATGATTGAAAGATGACAGACGGACGGATAGTAGAGAATCGGCCACGCAAAAGAGTACATGCAAAGTACGCACAAGAGTTGGAACGGTAAACTTCCTTTTTGTAAGACACAATTACCTGATTGGTTTTCGTCGCTGCTTCGGATATCGATATCTTTGTTTGTTGTTGTTTTTTTTTGAATATGGGAGCATCGAGCAAGGTGTTGATATTGTAAGAGTAAAAAAAACTGAAACACTGGTGAACTGATCTTAATTAATATACATACGTGTATGTATATATGTATATATATATATATGTATTCGAAATTACCACGACGATTCGTTGCCATGGCGAACGTATTTACATTTACAGAGTTTGCGACTTAAAAACTCCGCGTATTACGGATTTATCGGTGGTATTTGTACAAATCTTCGTGGAATAATTCTTCTCATTCCTTCGTCGTTTCGTGTGCACACGAGACCAGACGACACACGCACACACACGTCGCGTACTCAAACAAGAGCGCGAAAGACGAAAAAACGAACGGAGAACGGAATTTTCTGTCCTTTTGAGAAAGAAAGAAACCGCCTTATTTACCCAGACCGTTCGATAATTTCCATACTGAGTGTTTGTTTGCTCGCTGTAAACGCGACGTATCATAAAAAAGTCCAAGATCCTCGATCGCTGTGACATCGAGCAGTTCGACTAACCTATTTGAAGAGTGCCAGGGTTCGAACTGCGCTCTGTTTACCGCGTGATCACCGCTAGAACAGGCCTCTAGAAGGCCGATCTCCTCCATCCGTGAAACGATCGATCGATCGAAGAAACGAACAATATCGCTCGAGACTTTCTACGGATCGAAGAGAAAAAAAAAAAAACGGAAAAAAAATGCCCTTTCTCTCGATCGGATTTCACCGTCTGACTACAAACGCGAAGAAACCACCGAGGCATACATATGCATACACACCCGGGGCAGTAAACTTCGTTTCGGCGAAGAAATCCGAAAAAGTGCGAACGAGAGAGAGAAACTGTCTCGTCGCGAAGTTGAACGAAAGTTTCTCGCCGAGTGGAAGTTTCGATGGAGATCGATCGAGGATTTTGGAAGTCTCTTGACCGCGGATCGAGTCGTAATTACAGCGAGGCGAAACGTGTTTGAAATTAGGAACGAAACTATCGATCGAATGCAAAAACGTTAAAGATCTTGTTGTTCTCGAGAAATTCTAGGATTCTCCGTTCGTTTGGACGTTCGCGATTAAAAATCGTACACGTCGCCGCTGACACGCGTTACAGATCGAATGTTTACCTTTTTTTGTTTGTTTGTTCCGGAAGAGGGGACAATAGGAATTTTTCTTTTTTCCGACGAAAACAGGAAAGTAAGAGGATAGTAAAAGGACTGTAATAATAGTAAACGTAAAATAATAATAAAATATCGTTTTATAATGATAGAGTTCCTCGCGGGTCACGGAGATCGGTCGATTTAACTCTAATACACGGGGTGGCGAAATTTCTTTCTCTCTCTCTCTCTCTCTCTCTCTCTTTCTCTCTCTCCTTCTCTCGCGTGACCATGATCAGACAGGGTTTCTCTTCCTTTTTTTTTCTTATTTTGTTTCTTCTACTTCTCTATGTACAAAACCGGGGAGGAGGAACTGGGGGGGTGGTTGACGATCAACGACCAATCTACAAGCTTCTTCCCACTCTCGCATACGAGCACACACACGCACACACACCCAAGCGCACGCACACACAATTTTCTTGGGGGGAAAAAACACAGCGAAAGGGTTATTCTTCTTCTCTTTCTACGCGAAGAACTACGGTGTTTGTCGCGGGATCGATATGCACAATAAATACTGTTGTCTCTTTCTCCTTTCTTTATCCACTTTAATCTTGTTCTTTTCAATCATCGATACACAAACCGTCGATATTTCGTTTTCTTCACAGGCGTCTAATATTATCCGACGCTGCCATTCTTTCATTCTCATTCACACTCATTCTCTCTCTTTCTCGGTTTCTCATCTGTATTTATATATATAAAGTGTTTCGTATTGGCTCGTAGTTCGTTAATCCGTTTATTTTAGTTCGTACTCCCCCGACAATTGGGACGATCTCTGTTGGCCGTGTACGAAGAAGAACATTGTCGCGGAAATCACCGATGACGGAGACGCACACACCGACGGACGTCGAACGAGACGTCGGTCACGAAACGCGGGGAGAGAGAAAAAAGGAAAATATTGCTAACGCGGAAAATATAATACACGTGTCTCTCGTTTGCCTTTCGTTATTTTCATTTTTTTTTTCTTTCTTTCAATACGTTTCTATATATATATATAATATTTTATATATATGTGCATAAATGTATATAAATATGTATATATATACAGTCACGCGAAGTCACGACACATTCTGTGTTCAACCTCCTTCTCTACGCTGCCTATCTTGTTTTCTCTTTCAACGCTTCCGCACTTACTGTCTATTCCTGATCATCCTCCTCCTCTCCCCCTTTCCCACATCCCCATTCTACGCTACATCCCCTCGCAACCACTATACCCTGGATACTTCGTTTTCTTACACGCGTGCTACCGTCGTGCAGCGTTCGTTACTTCTTTTTTTTTTTTTCTTTCGTATTTTATCACAGTAAGAGGTTTGATCGTTTCGCGCTCGTTCTCGTCTCCTTTTCTCTCTCTGGGTACCATTTCTTTCTTTCTCTCTCTCTCTCTCTCTGTGTATATTCAGCATGATTTACACCGTAGATCGACGAATCCGTCGACCTACCATTCGAGTCTGTATCGCGACGCAACAAGAACTCTAGGGACCAGGAAACGAAGACGCCCAAGGAGCGTATTTGTATTTCCTCCCCCTTTCTCTCTTATTTCTCAGAAGGGATAAATATGATTTAAAAAAAAAAAAAAAAAAAAAAAAAAAAAAAAAAAGGAACGTTCCTCCGACGAAACGAGGCTCGAGGAAGAACGTGGGGGCCCGCAGGAGCAAGCAGATTCGTCGCAAGCTTGGGGAAACGAGCGGAAGTCCTCGTGCAACGATCGAGGAGGACGCGTCTTCGACGACGATCGAGATCGACGCGAAACCACTCTATTACATTCGCGTTTCTTCTTTTTCCCGAATTTATACCTGATTGTTTCGCATTAGCGTTTCTCGTGCTTCCTCTCCTTGCTCTGCGTGTCTCGCACACGCAAAATGGCGACGATAGATTCTTGACGTCAGATCGCACGTTCCGCACATGTATATTTTTTCCTCTCGATTAATTTTTTCTCTCTGATTTTTGCCCCGTTCGTTTCGCTTTTCTCTCACAGTCTTCTCTCTGTCCGTGATTTTTTTCCTCCCGAGGTTGCGAGAAACCTTCTGCGATCCCACCTCGGCCCCCACGGTCTCTCAACACTGAGTTTCTCCGTGCGCGACAGCCTCTCGCCACACTTTCTCACTCGTGCCCTTTCTTTCCACGTCTAATTTCTATCGTTCTTTCTCCGTCACTTTTTCTCAAGGGAGTGTCCCACACGTACAGCCGTCCATCCAAGCTTGTCACTCTAAGCTATCCTACGAGGTTATTTGTTTTACGTTAGGTATCGGGGCTGATTGGTCATTTTTTCAACGGTTGCACATATGCAATGTACTTTATTTTAATTGAAATTTCGCATAGGATGAGTCAGAAGAATTCCTCGCGATGGCCAAATCTTTTCTCGTTCCTCTATCGGAGAGTCAGAGTTCGATCTTGAAACGAACATTCAAGTCCTCGATTCGATTGGCAATAATCGGTTGTTCCTCGAAGAAACGGCAACTGGTACGGAAATAAATATAAAGGAAGAACTAAGAAAAGCGATGCAACGACGATCGATAGTCGATGATCGAGGCCGACGAAGTTCTCTTGACTCAACCCACGAGAGCTCGACACGTTTAAACTCAACATTTATCTCTCGAATAATTAACGAGAAATAAATCTTCAGCTTAAACCCGCTCGAAATTCCCTACGTTCTGGACCCTAGAGCAGATGATCGCGAAAACGATGAAGGAAAATCCAACGGAAGAGGATCGAAAGAAAAGAAAAACGCATGTATACCGTATGAAACAGAAAGATGGTTCGTTATTCGATCAACGAAGAATCGTTCGAGATCGTGCAAGACGAAAGAGAAAAGAGAGCAGATATACACAGAGAAAGAAAGAGAGAGAGAGAGAGAGAGAGAGAGAACACCAGGGAAGCAAACGAAGCTGAACAGTCAGCTTTGCATCGTGCTCTTACCACGTCGAACGAGTTTCTCTGTTTACCTACCGCGTCGGTCGACCATCGTCGGAAAGACTTTCGTCGTAAATCTTCCCAAATATCGCGTCGCGCGCGATCGACGAATTAATCTCGTCGATCGTACGCCACGATCGGGAAACGCGTCCTAATATTTTTCTAGACGCCTCTATCTAAAACGCTCGATCTTCCATCGAATCGAACGTGTTCGTCCTTCCAACCGATTCGAGGCAGAGAAACACGAAGAAGGAGAATAAGACGGAGAAGAAGAAGAACGGCGACGCCCTTTATACTTGTTTATTTCTTTTTTTTCTTTCTTTCAAGGAATAATCCGCCAAGATACAGTCGAAGAAAAATGAACGAAGACGTAGATCGAAGACGCAGGACAAATTCTTGCGATCTTTGTAGGAAATCTTCTGTCTACGAGAAATGTATTACTCGGCTATTAAATTGGATCATGCGTTCCGCTCGATCGAATGCTCGATCGAGGGTGGCTCTCGCGTTATATCTCATTACGTAACAATCTGCTCAGTGTTACTCGCCGCTAGCTCCAACTACAGCGTGAAAGGGGGCAGGGGGGCGGCTAGGGTGTCGGTGCTAATTGTTACGTACTCAGGATTTGATCATTAGGGTCCAGAAGTGGAAATGTCGTCGCGATGTGGTTAGTATGCAGACATGGGGTACTCGATTTGCAAATTGGAAAGCGTGGTGAGTTCTTGAGGATTATCGGTGGACGCGATCGATTAGGAATTCCTCCGCGAATCGTTCGCGACCATCGGACCAAACGCTCGAGTTAACACCTTCTCTATCATTAGAGACGCGAGGTTGCATCTACTTTTACCATATTTTCCGAAATAACAGTAATAACATCGTTCTTTCAACTCGAGCGTGTGACCAAGCTACTTTACCAACGAGAAGGATAAACCTAGTATCTAATTCGCGACAGTTAACTACTACTGTACTAAAGTAGAATCACATAAATCGAGGACGGATGTCGTTGCAACGGACCTCTAACGTATAACCAAGGTTTATCCTACCCTCGAGGGTAAGGGAGAGGGGGGGAAGAGTACCACATCGGATCTTCCTCGACGGTGTGGAGAATTCTTCGACGACAATTCGACAACACGTTGAACTCGATTACTTTCTTCTTTTCAAAAAACGACAGATAAAACTCCGTCGAGGAAGACCAAAAGAGACCAACAAGGCTTACGATCTACCTGATGCCATAAGCATTCGAAATAATAACAACCAAAAGAATAATATTCAGCTTACATATGAGTGAGTGGCGGAATGGCGGAATGGTGTTGTCCGAGCGGATCCGGCGACGGTCCAGGCGAGTAGACACCGGCGCCGTGTTGCACGACGCCCTGTTCGACGCCTTGCGGCAGATACATCGAGATCATCTGTCTGAGGTCGCCCTGCGTCTGCTGCGTCTGCTGTTGGCCCATGTTGTACTCCCGTTTCACGACCTGGCCGCCAGCCGCGCCCGTCGACGACGCTCCCGTCGGCGTCGGTGTGTGTATACCGCCGCTCGCGGGACTCGTTGGCTCCGACTTTATGCTGCTACCGCTGGGACTGTGACTCGACATCTGAGAGCCAGGTTGGGCTTGGTGATAGGGCGACGGTGATCCACCGGGCACAGTAGTTCCACCGTAACCGCCGTAACCGTTCATGTAGCTGTTTATGGGGCTGGGACTGCCGCCGCCCATGTGATGGCCCATGTCGTACCTTGGATAACCAGCGGCCGATGCAGCCGCAGCCGCCGCTGCACCACCCATATGACCACCGTACGCGACGTGCTGCTGATACGCGGCCGTCGGGTCGTGCATCATGTATCCGTTAGGCATGTAACCGTTTGGCATTTGATAAACGTCTCGTGAAAGTTGTGCCTGTTGAGGACCACCGGAAGCACCGACTTGTCGTTGATCCACGCCTAACATACCGCCAACACCTGCCACACCGCCTCCAAGAGGGAACTTGTCCTTCTTCAGCAACGTCTTGGTCTTACGTCGTGGCCTATATTTGTAGTCTGGATGTTCCTTCATGTGCACCGCTCTCAATCGTTTCGCCTCGTCGATGAAGGGACGCTTCTCCGTCTCGCTGAGAAGCTTCCATTCGGCTCCCAGCCTCTTCGAGATCTCCGAATTGTGCATCTTCGGGTTCTCCTGCGCCATCTTGCGCCGTTGCCCTCGAGACCACACCATAAACGCATTCATCGGCCTCTTCACGCGGTCGATGTTGTTGTTCTTGCTGGTATTGTTATTGTTATTCGGTGGTTGATGATGCTGCTGAGGTTGAGGCTGTTGCTGTTGCTGCTGGTGCGGGTGGTGTTGTTGCTGTTGTTGACCGCCACCTTGTTGCGCCAACGAGTGCATGCTCTGCTGTTGCTGTTGCTGCTGTTGTTGTTGTTGAGCAGCTTGCATCGAGGCGTAGTGATGCTGGGGCGTCTGATGATGATGCTGAAGACCCAAACCGAGCCCTGTACTCGGCGGGCTTCCCGATAAGGCTGGACTGTGCACTATCGAGCCGAGGCTACCGTAGGGAGAGACCCCCGTATGGTGGCCCATAGGTGATACACCCTGATGAGGGTGCGGTGGCATCTGACCGTGCAGGCTGCCGCCCTTCAGGTCCGTCTCCATCGTGAGCATGTCTTCCTCCCTGTGGCCGTACAGTTTGCCGCCCTTTCCTGGTACCGCTCGACGTCAAGAAATTCGACGAAACGCCGAGGATTCGCGTGCACACGGCTATTTCGAACGATCGTCGCGTCGAAACGTTCGCTCGTTCCAATGACCACGTCACCGGGCGTGTTCTACACGGCAACACCGGCGAACATTACGCGACGACGTGTAGTCCTCTTCTCCTCGTTTCTCGCCGACAGTGTGACATGGAAGCCGGTTCACGTGAGCCAGTCTCGATCATACGAGTTACTCCTTCGCTACTGACACCACTTGTTGGAATTATACTTCGCGGCCACCACAATCACACTTTCTTCTCACTTTTTTTCTTCTTCCGATTCGTCCTATCAGTCAGTCACTCTATCCTCTCTCTCTCTCTCTCTCTCTCTCTCTCTCTCTCTCCTTCTCTTTCTCCCTGTTTGTTTACGTGTATAGAGTTTGTTTTACCGTTAGCTAGATTCTATCTATTACAGCCGTGAAACATCGGTAGAACGTCACTGTTACTAAATCACTATCTTCCTTTTAGTTCCACTGGATCGATCAGAATGTTAATGAATGAAACACACGATCACCGCGATAGCACCGTACGTTTGTCGAATCCACGCGTTCCTCGCGGAATATAGAAGGAATCGAGTCTTTCCGTTAAGGCAGCACGACGATGTTTAGTTATCACGAAAAGTCACCGTGGCTTCGTCTACTACTGATCACCGTACACTCGACGCTCCTCATATCAACACGGCGTGTATGTTATTCCTCCCCACCGCGTACTCCCTCTTCTCTATTGCTGGTATGGAACGTCGACGACAACACAACCGTCGTGATTCACGGCAGAAGTCCGGACTCGTACTGACGACGCACTGTCACTTTCTTCCCCTAGCACGCTGCCAGGCCTCCTCTCCTCTTCGTCTCTCCGACGAACCTCGACAGCTCGGCTCGTGACTGGCTGCAGGCTCACGATACGCTCGACGAATCGGATCGCGACGATGCAACGATACACCACGGGGTTTGCTTCTCGATATCAGGATTCCTCTCCTGTGTGTCCTTTCGTTCCAAGAGAAGGAAGAAAAACAAGGATCGCACCACTATTTGCCTCTTCTGCTTCTGTCCTGACAACGATCGCACGTTGTCCTAGACGATTAATCCACCACTATATTGTTTCACTGCTGCTTTTATTTATATATATAAATATATATATATATGTATATGTATACATATATATACACATACATATATATATATATACTTTCTTCTTGTCACACAAACAACTCCGGCTTTACGACTCGACGCGGTCCCACCTGACGATGAGAAAATCGTTGTATTACACGCGTGACGGACACGCGCACGTCCTTTCATCCGGTGTGTATGTATACTCTCTCTCGATGCGTGGTATAGAGCCCAGCTGAAGTAGCCAGAGACACAGGCGCGCAGCAGCTAACGTGGAAGAATAGGGAAAAAGAAGGAGAAGAAGAAGAAGAAGAACAAGTAGCAGCGACCTCCACTCTCCACGGAAGAACGGAACCGTCTGAGCATTTGTGGATTTCGCCTTGGGGTCCCACTCTCGGGGCTCACTTCCTGCCGAGGCGGCTGTCCCCCTCTCTCTGTTTCGCTCGCTACGCGCTCACCGCCCCTCCCCCTTGGCCGCGCAACCCTACCCTAACTTGCTACCAGCAACCATACCCAACGGACTCGACGGACCAGCACCAGAGCCTACCAACGGCAATCGATTGGCACACAAGCCTGCCATCATTTCTCCCGACCAATCGCGCGGCTCCCACCGACGCCGAAGGCGGCGCCATTACGCCGTGACGTCATCGCCAACAACCCCGACGACCTCTCGCGGCGACGCTTTCCAACCCCTCACCGCACTTCGCTCGCCCTCGTACAACCTTTCTCTCTTCTGCTCGTACGTCAGCTTCGGTTTCTCTAACTATGCCTTTCTCTTTGCTTCCGCACGCATGTGTTCATCTCTATTCGCGTCTCTCTGTCTGATGCGCTCTCCTCTCCGGTTGTGGTAGCCAGTGTGTTTCGTCCACGCGTTCTCCTGTCCGCGACACACACACACACATTCTCTCTCTTCCTCTCTATCACCCTCTTGCACCCTTTAAGCAAGAGGGAAGCCTGCCAACGCTGGACCCTGGCTCCCGCGAATTTCCTACCTTCCTACTCGCCTCGTGTCGTTTTCCTGCGCTCCACGCGCGAACACAGCGCGTGTCTCTCCTTCCTCAACCCCCCAGCCACCCCTTTGCTACGTCTCTGTCGCTCATGGTTTAGATCGGGGCAAGCGTGGGGCTCTCCTCTCCGCGCGCGATTCCTACTTCGCGCTGACCTTCGGGCTTTCGCGGACCAACTCGTTCTTGTTTTCCTTTTTATATTTTTTCGGAGATAGATTCTTCATCGATACAGAGAAATTGGCCACTTTATCGTGCAACGTTTGATAATTATAGCTGTGAGATATTTTTCGCTGCGTTTCAGAGGGCGAGCTCGATTTTCTCGATTGGTTATAGATTTATCGCGACTGAACCAACGAATTAAGGATGTTTACAGACGAGATTCGATAAATGTTTGCGAGGACTTTCTGCGCGGTATTCTTCGAGCAGACAATGCTCTATTTCTGAGCGCACGTGCAAATGCATTCTAACTGCGCAGGCATCCCTATCTTATCGCCAGTTCCACTGGTATCGCGGTTTTCTTTCTGCCCGGCGATTTTTGCCAGAGAAAGCCACGAGCCTCTGTCGCTGCCGTTTTTATTCCTCCTCGGTGCTCGGTTACAACACGAGGCATCAACCTTTGCAATCTTCTCGTGTTTATTACGCGTAGCGTAATAGTAATATAATTCGACACTCGATCTCGATAAACAACGGTCCGCGTCGATGTTGTAAAGTAAAGGGTTAAGTACACGCTGCCTACCATTTTTCTCCGCACGAGGCCCTATTATTTTCGTCAAGAGCAAATTCCAGAGTTAATTTAGCAAGAGTAGGGGGGCATTAGCTCGTGTCGCGCTTCGTCGTATTCAAATCTCCCATTATATCCGGTCGACTTGACCCATTTTCTCCTTGTCTCCTCGTTCCCTTCTCCCCCCCTCTCTCTCTCTCCTTTTTTCCTCTCCATTCAGTCTAGCAGTTCCTTCGCAGCCTCTCCTCTCCGTCTCTCGTTCGTGAAATCCACAAAGAGGCTCCACGAGCCATTCCTGAAAGAACCTTCCATCGGCCGATGCGACTCTGTTTAAGCGCGGCTCTCCTGCGTAGGACCTGTTGCCGCGGCGCACACCAGCCCAGACAGAGAGGGAGGGAATCGGCGCGGGAGAAAACCGGAGAGAAAGAGCGAAACGCATAATGGAAGAATGCGTCATAGATAATCGTAGCGCAACCCCGGCGTGCCTCGTGCGTCAGCGACAATGAAAGTAACGGCGCGGCCGGATGGAGTCTCTCCCATTCGAACCGTTCACCGACGTTCAATTTCGACGAATGCCTACGCTCTCCTTTCTTCCCCTCTCTTACCGCCAACCCCTTTCGTCCCTTTCGAGGAACAACCCTTCTCTCTCGCCCTCTCTTCTAGATCTCTACGCGTTCTACGGTGAAATACTTCGCGTGATACTTTCCAATTTTTTCCCCCGGTATTTCCAGTAACAAGTGATTCTTGCGAGATACGACTAGAATAGGTTTGTATCGTAAGTATCGTCGTCCGTGAGCTGTTTCACCGATAAACAGCCCGATTTCAGAAGATGTTGCAATTACGTACGTTTCTTGGCAAGGGTTGTCACAACTTGAACGTGTTTCTATAATCCTCGGACGGATGTCGCAACGAAATCACCGGTCGAGTTTACCGTTGCAAAACGGTATCCCGGGAGAATAAAGAATTGGATTTCAGAAACAAACTTATAATTATGCATGATCGAGAGGAGGCACACTGGCTGGCCCGATAAGCGGGCAAGGTCGTCTCGATAAGATTACCAGGGCCGATAAGCGAAGTGCAAGGTCCCGTGGAATGACTCAATCGATCGATCGATCGATCGATCTTTTTAATCGTCGCGGTTAGGTGACGCGTGCTCGTTATCTACCGCGTTTCGCCACGCCGGTGTACTCTCTGAATCCCACGACGATCATCTGTATACAACAACTCTCCGACGAACGGGCAATAAATCAAAACGAGAAAGGGTAATCAGAGGAGCATTGTGACGTGTTCGCGACAGTCGCCGTAATGAAAACCGCACGGATGATGCGCGCGACGCTGCGCGTTTCGCGTCGAGCAAACGCTTCGGAACCGAATATTGACACCTGCTTAACGAACCTACGAAAATTTATTGCTAATTGTCCCGTGTGAAACGTCACGCAGGTATCAAGCGAGAAGAGAGAGAGAGAGAGAGAGAGAGAGAGAGAGAGAGAGAGGGTGGGAACAGTTGACCGTAAACGGTGCTCTTTGTTCGATCGATTGCCATCAAGGCGAGTCCTATGACCAAGCTAGAGGTACCTGCTCCCGTAACGACACAGCGTATAATAAAGCTGTGCCAAATACCTGCGCGTTCTACAACGCCGAACCTGTTAGGTGCAGCGGCCACGACTAATTAGCGGGCCAACGAGCCGGCCTTTCACTCGTTTCAGCCGCGAAAACTAGCGTTTCGTCGCCTTATGGCTCTTGTAGATGACCGTTTTTCGGGCCTATTCATTCTGCGGTTCCTACGGATCAGGGGATAGGTAACGTTGTTAAGCCGCGTGAAATCGCAAATGGGAATTTTATTGTCGGATTTGAAACTTCTAAACGAGGCCTCGTAACGTGAACGTTCAAATTGAAATTTAAAACTTCAAACTTAAATTTAGATGCTCGATTCCTATTCTATACAGAAATACCACGCTTTCGGAATTTCTTTAGGTAATCAACTACATTTTCCTTGGGTGAAATTCCCCGATTTATCAGCGTTGGAAAACGCCCTATCAGCGATGAAAGAAAAATCGTAGCGGTGGACACAACGGCTTGTCCGAAAATTCACACACGGTGGCACTGACAATCTCATTTCGCGGAAAGACAATCGCCGATCGACACCAAATTATCGCGTCAGAACGGGTGGCGCGCGTTGATCGCGGCACAATGGCGTTTCCCGCGCGCAAAGTACCGTCGGCTCGAATGATCGTTCACTGGCATCGATGATTAAAGGCCTCGACTTCGACGTCGACGTTTTCTGTCCTCTTCGCGGGATCACAGGTGACTC